GAAAGAGCACTGTCAGGTGGAGGCCGTGGGGAGTAGGGTTGCCAGACACACGATATTTTTTTGGTCGAGCAGAGCGGCAGTCGCGACCCTGCCTCCCAGCTGGGACTCCCAGCCACTCCCCCGCCCCCGCCTGGTTTCCGTCCAGTGCGCAGCCAGAACAATCAGAGAATACCGGACACTGCACATTGCACATTGCACGTGTCCAGTATTCTCTGATTTTTTTTACCGGACAAAAAGCGCAAATACCGGACACCTGGCTACCCTAGTGGGGAGGGAAGGACCCAATCAGGAGCAGTCAGACTGGGACCTGAGCTTAGTCAACACAGAGAGCCGTACGCCAGCCAGTGCGCAGCCAGAACAATCAGAGAATACCGGACACTGCACATTGCACATTGCACGTGTCCAGTATTCTCTGATTTTTTTTACCGGACAAAAAGCGCAAATACCGGACACCTGGCTACCCTAGTGGGGAGGGAAGGACCCAATCAGGAGCAGTCAGACTGGGACCTGAGCTTAGTCAACACAGAGAGCCGTACGCCAGCCGGAGGGCCGCTGCCTCCAGCTTTGGTCCGGGATCAGCCCCAGGCCGGTGGAGGGGAGTCCCATTCCCAAGGCATCTCATTCCAGTTGGGTTGGTCTCTTGGCCGGAGACGTTTCCTCCCTTCGCTTTGGTTTGGTTTTGGTTGCGTTGTTTCCTTTGCACACGTTTCTTTTCCGTTGGGTGTGGGGCTAGGCCCGTGGGGAGAGGGCAGCCAGGCCTCCAGAAAGTTCAGCTCCGACTAGCAGGCAGACGCGGCCTAGGGCAGGCCAGGGCCTGGCCCCGCTGCCGGAGCCCTGCCCTTGGCCGGAGACGTTTCCTCCCTTCGCTTTGGTTTGGTTTTGGTTGCGTTGTTTCCTTTGCACACGTTTCTTTTCCGTTGGGTGTGGGGCTAGGCCCGTGGGGAGAGGGCAGCCAGGCCTCCAGAAAGTTCAGCTCCGACTAGCAGGCAGACGCGGCCTAGGGCAGGCCAGGGCCTGGCCCCGCTGCCGGAGCCCTGCCCCCTCCACCGGACAGCCGTGTGGAACCAGGTCAACGCGGTGCTGGAGGAAGCGCAGACCATCCTGGCCGAGCTGCAGTCCTACACGGGCGCAGGCCTGGAGATTCGAGAGGTACGGCTCTCGGCCTGGGAGCAATGGGGCTGGCAGTCTCCAGGGACGGGGGGCCCAGCTCCGCACCCCCGGGAGAGCCTACGGCACCCAGCCCTTAGCATGGCCATGACCGCTGGGCTCCGCCAGCCCTCAGAGCTGCACAGAGCGGCAGAGCGGTGCTCCCACGGCCATTCAAAGGGGCCCGTGGCCCCAGCCGCCGTTAGCCAGGCCCCTCTGCAATTGTCCCTTTGCCCCCCATGCCGGCAGGCCCGAGCACCAGCCGGGATCCGGGCCCAGAGGCTGAGTTTGCCGCCTTGGTTCCTTGCAGGCGATCCAAAACCCCAACGACCTCCAGCTGCAGGAGAAGGCCTGGCACGCCGTGTGCCCTCTCGTGGCAAAGCTGAAACGCTTCTATGAGTTCTCCCTTCGCCTGGGTGAGCCCGAACCCCCCTCCCTGCACCGTCTCTGTGCCCAGACCCTGCTGACCGCAGCCCACATGCAGCCCGTGCTCCCGGAAGCCGGGCGCTTGGGCGGGCGCTCAGGAGAGATGCCCCCTCCTCCCACCTGATTAGCAGAGCACCCACAGCTATGGTTTAGTCAAATATTATTCCACACGTGGCTGGAAAAGACTAGAGGGAACATTGCCGGCAGCGCCCTGCCCCTCCCTCCAATCTCTGTCACTAGGATTCACCCACCTGTCCTTTATTCAGCCCAGCCAGAGCATGGGCCTCAGCCTGGACGGCAGCGCTGGTCCTTGGGCTCCAGAGGGGAGGATGGTCTAGTGGTTAGGGCTGCACGTCCTGCTTCTGCCACTGACTTGCGTTTCTAAGCTCTGTGCCTCGGTTTTCCCATCTGTAAAATGGGGATTGTGAGACTGGAGGGTAGGGCGCTGGCCAGCCCAGGCTCCCTGGAGCAGCCTATTGGCTAAAAGGGACTGAGAAGGACACATCCCTGCTCCAGGAGGGCGGCCCTCCCTTTCTTCACTGAGCCAAGGGGGGCTGCTCTCTGTGGGAATGAGACCCAGGTCATTCACCTGAGTCTGGCCGGGAGGGGTGACGCCCGGGAGGGGTTGCGTTTGCGGGAGGTGGGGGGGACGTGCCGCCCTGCAACGCGTCACTTCTCTCTCCGGCTGCTCCCAGAGAACGCCCTGCGCAGCTTGCTGGAAGCGCTGACCTGCCCGCCCTACGCCCCGACTCAGCACCTGGAGCGAGAACAAGCCCTCGCCAAGCAGTTTGCAGAAATCCTACACTTCACCCTCAGCTTCGACGAGCTCAAGGTAGGGGAGTTGGGGGGACGTGCCGCCCTGCAACGCGTCACTTCTCTCTCCGGCTGCTCCCAGAGAACGCCCTGCGCAGCTTGCTGGAAGCGCTGACCTGCCCGCCCTACGCCCCGACTCAGCACCTGGAGCGAGAACAAGCCCTCGCCAAGCAGTTTGCAGAAATCCTACACTTCACCCTCAGCTTCGACGAGCTCAAGGTAGGGGAGTTGGGCAAATGGCGCTGAAACTAGCCCACGTTAGCTCCCTGGGCCACTCCCACCCTTCGCCGCGGGGGTAGCCTCCCTCCACGCCTCTTTCAGCCATCTCTTGGAAGCGTAGCCCCCCAGTCTCACCGCTCCAGATCTAGCCCCCATTCTGCCGTACGGGAGCGTTCCTCACCCCCTCTCTGTCCACGTTTGCTGCAGATGACCAACCCTGCCATCCAGAATGATTTTAGCTACTACAGAAGAACCATCAGCCGAAATCGCATCAACAATTTGCAGGTAAGAGGTAGGTCCCCCTCCCGGAAGGGGTGAGTTCCTCTCAGCAGGCCGAGTGGAGAGCTTGCCCAGTGTGGAATGGCTGGAGGTCTTCTGAACTGGGTTTGCACCAGGTAAAAAAACTGCCGAAACCGCTAGTGTAACCCACACACCTAGACCACAGCAACAGATAAGACCACGAGACCTCCCCAGCATAGGCTAGGAGCCAGCTGGCTTTTAGCTCAGCGGGGAGAGGCCCCTCTACTCAGCTCCAGAGGGCACTAGCAAAGTAAGAGTGGGTCTAGCAGGGGCAGTGGGGGTCACACAATGCTCCTCAGAGGGGTGGCAGAACGAGACCTCCGTGGGGGCTGCTCCCCGTGGGATGCCTAGGAGGAACCAGACGCCTGCCGAGTGAGACTCCCTGCACCACCCGCACAGCTTGGGCAGCACCACCCTGAACCCCGACTGGGTCAAGCCACTGCCACAGAACTTCTGCGCTGCCATGTCCCCGGGCAGAACGCTGTCCCCCGGCGAGCCCAACCTTAGAGAGGGCAGGCAGCCAGGAAGAGCCTGGTGCTATCAAAACATTCCGGCTACGGCTAGACTGGCATGATTTTCCGGAAATCGTGCTTTGGAAACATTCCGGCTACGTCTAGACTGGCCCCAAATTCCGGAAAAGTCATGCAAAGCAGGTAAGTCAGCATAGGGAAATCCGTGGGGGATTTAAATATCCCCCGCGGATTTAAATAAACATGTCCGCCGCTTTTTTTCCGGCTTGGGGAAAAGCCGGAAAAAAAGCATCTAGACTGGCGCGATCCTCGGGTCTTTTTTGCGGAAAACAAATCTGAGCTGTCTACACTGGCCCTTTTGCGCAAAAGGATTTTTGCCCGAACGGGAGCAGCATCGCATTTCCGCAAGAAGCCCTGATTTCTTACAGTAGGAAGTCAGTGCTTTTGCGGAAATTCAAGGGGCCAGTGTAGACAGCTGGCAAGTTTTTCCGGAAAAGTGGCTGATTTCCAGAAAAACTGGCCAGTCTAGACACAGCCTCCCAGAACAAGGGCAGGTGCAAATGGGCCCATGGGCTTTCTGGGCAAGCGGGAAAAGGGCCGGGAGAGCAGGCTGGGGGCAGTCTAGGGCTGGTGCACAGACGAGCATGGGCTCAGCACTTGCCAGTCCTGCTGGGGTTCACACGACCATCTCGCGTCCTGCAGCTAGACGCCGAGAGCGACGTGAACAACGAAATGGCCAACCGGATGTCGCTCTTCTACGCCGAGGCCACGCCCATGCTGAAAACGCTCAGCAACGCCACCACCAAGTTTGTTTCCGAGGTGAGTGAGCCCCCCAGGGAGAGAAAGAGAACCCCAAAGGCTGGCAGGCAGGCAGGGGGCTGGTGGAGAGGAACCCAGCCCAGCCCCTTGATGCTCCTGTTGGGTAAACCAGCGACCCTCCACCGGCGCCCAACAGCCGTCATCTGGCCCCGAGATTCACCACGAGAGAAAACAGGACGTGGGCCCAGGAGGACTCCTCCGTGAATTCAGCACTTTTCCAGCATCCCTGGCCCGGATCCTGCGTCCTAAGAAACTGGCCTCAGGTAGAGAGAGCAGCCCCCTGCAGAATAGGCAGGAGAGTTTACAGAGGGAGGGTGGGGGAGCTAACGAGATGAGTTCGTTATTCAGTTCCTAACTGATGCCTCCCCAGCGAGGGGCAACACGGGAGCAGGAGGCGAATCTAGTGTCTCTTGTCTGGCTGCAGAACAAGACCCTCCCCATCGAGGACACAACTGACTGTCTAAGCACCATGGCCTGTGTCTGCCGGGTGATGCTGGAGACCCCGTGAGTAATTCCTCCTGGGGCTTGTAAAATCAAAGGGCTGGAAGTCAGTCAACGGCCACGGGGAAGGCCGGACTAAGCAGCTGCCCGACTAGGCGCGAGTCCCTGCCGTGCCCGAGCACTGGGGGCAGCGTTCCCTGGAAGCTGCGTGAGAGTCACATGCTGATTAGCAGGGCGCCCACAGCTAGGTTTGTGTTTCCAATGGTGGTGCACATTCACACATGCCTCGGTGCGTGTAAAAGTTTATTCCACACTGGATGGCAAAAATCCGCACAGTGACTGAGAGCTCCTTGCAGGTCCCTAAGCCCAGCTGTATGATAGGCACGGGCAGCGTTCCCTGGAAGCTGCGTGAGAGTCACATGCTGATTAGCAGGGCGCCCACAGCTAGGTTTGTGTTTCCAATGGTGGTGCACATTCACACATGCCTCGGTGCGTGTAAAAGTTTATTCCACACTGGATGGCAAAAATCCGCACAGTGACTGAGAGCTCCTTGCAGGTCCCTAAGCCCAGCTGTATGATAGGCACCCACGCAGAAGGGCCATGTACAGGTAGAAGTGACACCCCCCTACCCCGGGAGATGCCAGCAGCAATGACACCATCAGACCCTGCCAAACTCTTCCCCCGGCTTCTCATTGTGACCCCTCTCTGGCGGCAGGGAATACAGGAGCCGGTTCACCAACACAGAGACCCTTCTCTTCTGCATGCGAGTGATGGTCGGCGTCATCATCCTCTACGATCACGTCCATCCCGTGGGGGCCTTCGCAAAGACCTCCAAGATCGACGTGAGTGACTCTCCGTCTCAGTACACGCCACAGGGCCCCGCGGGGGGGCGTTGGCAAAACACTGGAGGCGGGAAGGCTGATTCGGGGGGTGCCGGGGGACCCGCCATCGGCCTGGCAGTGGGCAGGACCATCCTGCCAGACACCTCCCAGATCAGGCCCCGTCGGAAAGACGACCTTGAACCTCCACCCGAGTTTTGCTGGTTCTTCCGGCTGGAGGACCCCGTCACAAGCAGCCGAGCGCGAACCGA